TACGAGCGCATGATGCAATGAAATACATATGGAACCTGTTCTTCAAGTCATTTCTCCCGCTCACACAACTCAGTTCAGCTGGTAGAGAGGCCAAAAGCCCACGATTTTATCGAAATCACTTGTTTGCAACGTTGTAAAACAACAACACTGCAAACAAACATTCATCTGAAAACACCTAGATATGAATCGCTTCTCAGGTTCTTCACAAGGCAGAAGAGGACTCGCCGATACCTGCCGAATGCCGCAGAGAAATGCTTCAGTGGCAAACATCGACACATCTGCGAGGTCTGAAGGTACCGAAACAACAGACGGTTGCGATGTTTATGTCGATGAGTTCAATTCAAGCGCATTTTCTGCCATTACCTTAGAGGAGGACCCAATCCCGTCGAGTCGGCCTAGAAGACGTGGATCCAACCTTACTCCTCTCCAAGAGCAGAAGGCATTGCCAGATCGTCCATCTGAGTACTTCGAATACGTGGAGAGACTGAAGGATTCCTCTGAAGAACACACTGAAACACACAGGAATCTCAATCGTTTTGCAGATTCTTTTGAAAGAAGCAATCCCTGCCCAATGCCTCAGCGAAATGCTTCAATTGCAAACATCGACATCTCTTCAAGATCTGGAGGTACCGCTTCAGTTACAAACCTCGACAGCTCTTCAAGATCTACTGTTACCGCCACAACTGCCACAACAATAGACAACAGTATTATTGGCGATGCTCATGAGATCAAACGAGGCAAAGTTTCTCCCAAGCCTCTCCATCGAAGACATGGATCCAACCTATGTCCTCTCCAAGAGCTGAACGCATTGTCAGATCATCCATCGGAATACTTTGATAGACTGTTAGATTCTTCTGAAGAACACAGAAATATGAATCGTTTCTCAGGTACTTCCGAAAGAGGAATTGGCAATCATTCTCCAATCCTGCCCCAGCGAAATGCTTCAGCACATCGGGGAGGCAACTTATTGGATCATGAAGAGGTGCAACATTCTTCGAAACCTTGTGCAATGCCACAGCGGCAAGCCTCCTTGCGCCATTGGGAGAGCGACTCGGATGATCACGAGACCCATCATCAAGCCTGTCCGATGCCGCAGCGAAAAAGATCAAGCTTCGAACATCACGGGAATCTGCAACAATCCTATCAAGACACCTTCTTCTTGAAGGAAGAAATGCTTTTTCAATCTATCAACGACACCGACGAGGACACTGATCCAGTGTGGTCTCAAAAGATGCATGAAGCAGTTCGCAAGTATCAAGAGCGAAACACGGATATGGACAGCGAGACTGACGGTGACTTTCTTGGTTATAGCCACGCCGCCGCATCGTTGGAGCTCGTTGACGTCTTTGACGGTCATTGACGTGCTTGTTTTAGGTCTTGCTTTAGAGAAATACATAGTTCAATTTTTAAATAGTATCACTTTGGTATCCCATAAGAGGACTACAAATAACTCTTATATGGCCGATATATTGTAACAATTCTTTAAACTTGTTGCAGCCATACATAACTTCATTCCCGATGAAATGAGGAATTCATCGGAGTCCTACCAGGTGCATGTCATATCGCAGCACATCACGCAGACACCAGGAGGATGACCCTCCGATCCATTCGTCCAAAAACTGACACTATCACAAAACCGCCGCATCAGGTCGGTCAGATGGCATAGTCTTGTAACAAAGCATTTACCATTGATCTAAACCGTCAGAATGGCACTTGACATGAAAGAGGGCCACAAGGCTACAACATTTGGTAGTTTGGTTGACGGCCATGAAATGCTGGATTATCTTTGCTCGTCGTTTAGCATGCAAATAGTCATGGCTGGCTGCAAGGCAAAGGCTGGCACCTTCAAAGGTGAAGGATAGTAATTTGGAAATGATTCGTGCAATGTGTAACTATATTGGCATGAAAGTCCTTCCTACAAAGCGGACTGGTGGCAATTGCGGTTTGGCAGGAGGCAGGGTCATGTACCTATCGCATTATAAAACATTAAACCATTAGGAGCATTACAGAAAACGCTGAGACTGTGCACTACAACCCATAGCTTTCTGGGTTTATATTGAGAGGTAAACTGGAAAAGCACACTGTTGTTATTGAGGAATGGTGTTCTAAGCAACTCCGGGGAGTCGATCTCGCTTGTCTGAAGGCTATGGAAGATCACAATGGAGCTGCAGTAAGTCTTTCTATTGAGGTTTGTACCTTTGTAATGTTCAATTTAATGCTTTTTATGATAGTAGTGTGGTGTAAATAGTATAGTGTGTGAATTTTTAAATCCGATACAGTATATACGTATACCAGTAGTAGATATACGAGTATGTCGGATAAAATCAAATATTTGAGGGATATAATATCATACTGCATACACCGAGCGAGCTTTACTCCTGAGCGAGCCAGCGCCGCATCTGAAGGAAGAGCGAATTTGTATCACTCCCGTTTTCTACAGTGATATTAGAATGAATTATGTCATCTACAGGTTGCGGTGCGTCAGTGAAAATATCTGTTCGACTGGAAAAACTGATTTCCTTATATACCGCTGGAAAATGTGGTCGCGAAGAGAAATTTCCAGTGACACAACTCATCTTTCCAGTGACACCATTCATTCTTTCCATAGTGTTTCCATCCTCTCCGAGTTTCTCATTGAATCTACAGCGAAAGAGAAAACTCCATAGAATCTTCATTGAAGCCCTTAGCACGTAGCAAAATGACAATGCAAGAACAAGACGGCAGAGTTGGGGATAGAGCGACAACAACAGACAGCAACCTCCACTTTGCTGACGACGCCTCTCAATCAAGCTTAGTTTCTGCCATAACCTTGGAGGACGCCATACTACCATCCAATCGTAATCCGCTACATTCTCTTCAAGAGCAGAGACGACTATCAGATCTATCACCTGAAGATGTTGAAAGATTGATGGATTCCTTCGGACAGCAGTTGAATGTGACTCGTTTCTCAGATTGCTCGGAAGGAAGACTATGCAAACCCTGTTCAATGCCACAGCGAAAAACTTCCATGGGTCACTGGAAGAGTAACCAAGATTGCGATGAGGTTCTCCTGTCTTGCCAACCCTGTGCAATGCCACAGCGGAAACCGTCTTTGAATCATCGACAAAGCTGCTTGTACCATCAAGATGTTCAACCCTGTTTGATACCCCTGCAGAAACCCTCAATGGGCCATGATTGGGAAAGCACCTTGGATCATCCAGCGGCTCATCAGCAACCTTGCTCAATGCCGCAACGAAAACCTTCCATGAACCATCGAACAAACAGCTTGGATTATTCAGAGGAGTTACATGATTCCAACCGAAGCACCTTCTTGAAGACCGAAATGCCGTTTGGATCCATCGACAGCTATGATGATGCTGAAACCACTGGTAAGAAAACAGTTCCGATCTTGGCTACGAAGACAGGTGAACCACGTCGGAAATATGGTGCAAGAAGAAAGGAAAAAGACAGGGCTGGACTTGGCTTTCGCCACAAGATCGAGTCAGACACGTCGTTGGAGCTCGTTGACGTGTTTGTTGGTCGTAGAGGTCCTCGGTCGTCTAGAGCCAATCGACAAAACTATGCATGGGATCTCCGAGCCGCTCATCAGATAGAGTGATCTGAAGCAAGGGCGACTTGTTCGTCTATGAGCAGATCCCTTCCACTCGAGACAATTGTGCAAGTAATATCTATTATAATCCATAGCCTTTCCTTGCTCTTCTGCAAGTCCATAATGACCGTCACTCTATTATCCGTCACTATATTACCTGTCGATCATATACATACAGATGGCGCTATAATAATGTACCTTTCTTTTCGCACAACCAATAGAACACCGTTCATTTTGTTGAAATTGACCACCAGGTACGAGTAGTGTGCCACCGACCACCGGTACAGTAGATGAATGAAACCAAACACAAAAAAGTCGAGAAGACGACGCTTCAGCTTTACCACGAAAAGCTGACGTTTCTCAGCATTTCTAACGAGACCAGCGAATCATCGTTTCCTGTTCTTTTCGCTTGAGAACTCTACGCAACTGCAAATCGATTTGCGTCTCAAAGTCCATATCCAGTGCATTCATTCAAGTCCACGTAGAGACGGCCATCTCCGATGTGCTCAGGAACGGCAGCACCTGAGACAGTAACGGAACGAAGGCAAAGCTTTTTGAGAAACATTTGAGCTACAATCCGGTGCCGTCGTAGTCACTCCTGACCAAAAACTCCTTCACAAGAAGCATTCATCAATCGAGAGAACAAACCGATGAATTCGGAGAATATACTGCTGTTACAGGAATAGTCATGATCGAAAAGCCAAGCGCCAACAATGGTTGTATCTGACGAACGATGGATATAAAGGTCAATTGAATTTTACAGGTGACCGACACAACTGGTGAATATTGGAATGAATCGAAAGGTCTCTAGTCCTGAGGAAAACGCAGAAGCTACGTGGGAGATTCGATGATCGTCCTCCAATCTGATTGATGTGGAATAATAGAGATCTCGTAAAACTGAGAGAACCTTCAGAGAAAGCTCCTCTCAACAAAGAATGTTAGTACCGGTTGAATATTCTGAAAAATACAAGAATACTAAACGTGACTGGCAATTATAGGGCAACAAACGCAGTCTGACAAATTTGCTATTAGGAACGAAGTTGAAAAGCCCCCAAATAAGTAATGTAGAGAGTCCAAACGATCGGAAAATAATAGCGCGCGCACATGAATAAAGGAGGTGTTTTTATATAACGCAGGGTACCGGTATTCGTATCAGGAAAGTCAGCAATATTAACTTCATCGTCCTTTACAATTCGCAGCAGCATGACCAACCAACAACAGTGCAAAGCAACTTCAGTAGATGGCTGCCATTCAATACTTGACTCCAACATGTACTCTATCCAACAGCAGAAGTCACTGCCAGATACTCCACCTGATGACGTCGAGAGCCTCATAGATTCCTTTCAAAAACACGTCATGCTGAACCGTTTCTCAGACTCCTCCGAAAGAGGGGTCCGCGGTTCGTGCCCGATGCCTCAACGATATGCTTCAGTGGACAACTTTGACATCTCTTCAAGATCTGAAGGTACCGGCACAACAACGGAAAGTGGTATTGGTAATGCAGCAATCGCTTCAGTGGAAGATCAGCTGCCGCACAGTAAGTCTGTCTATCGACGACGTGGGTCCAACCTATGTCTTGTCGAAGAGCAGAATCCATTGTCAGATGTCCCACCTGAGGACGTCGAGGGACTGATGAATCCCTTTGAAGAACACGTCACTCTGAACCGCTTTTCAGGTTCCTCCGAAAGGGCAGTCACTAATCTCTGTCCAATGCCCCAACGATATGCTTCAGTGGACGACTTTGACATCCCTTTAAGGTCTGAAGGTTTTGGTAATCCCTGTCCAATGCCGCAGCGATATGCTTCAGTGGACGACTTCGACATCTCTTCAAGATCTGAAGGAACAGCTACGACAACAGCTAGCTGCTATGTCGATTTCGATGAGTTCAATTCAAGCACATTTTCTACCATTACAATAGAGGAAGAAGACTTCGTCCCGTCCAGTCGGCCTATCCGTCAACGACGTGGATCCAACCTATGTTCTGTCGAAGAGCTGAAGGCATTGTCAGACCACCCATCTGAAAACGTCGCGAGATTATTGGATTCCCCTGGAGAACGCACTGAAGCACACAGGAATCAGAATCGTTTCTCAGGAAATTCCCAAGGAAGCCCCGGCAATGCCTGTCCAATGCCTCAGCGATTTGCTTCAATAGCAGACCTCGACATCTCTTCCAGGTCTGGGGGTACTGCTAGCAAATCTAGTGAATTGCCAAAGCAACAACGCACCTTGGAATCTCAAGATGGCCAACTCTGTCCAATGCCGCGACCACAACCCTCCGTGGGCCATTGGGAAACCCACTTGAATTATCAACGGACTCAACAGACTTGTCCAATGCCGCAACGGAAATCTTCAACAAACATCTTTGATTTTCATGACGAGTTTCAACAGTCCTACCAAAGTACATTCTTTTTGAAGGAAGAAACTCCTTTTGGAACGATCGACAGCGATGATCGTGCCAAGTCTGAGGAGGACACTCAACCGGTTTGGTCTCCCAAGATGCATGATGCAGTTCGCAAATACGAGGCAAGAAAAACGGACAAGGACAGCGGTGACGTTCTTGGTTATGGTCAGACCTCGAGGTCGTTGGATCTGATTGACATCTTTGGATCTGATTGAGGTTGTTCGCCCAAACTATGTGGACAAGACTGCTCAATTTGATACAGACCGACTTGTGGGTCACACTCATTCCAATGCATACCCTCATGTGCACTATCAAAAGGCTCTTGTTTTAAAAAAACATTAGTATCGGTTTTGTTTTTAAAAAATATGTTCCTGTAGTAAGTTGGCCTTCGCTTGCTCGAATCGTTTTTTGCGAGATACTGCATGGATCAAGAATTTTGCCATATCACAATAGTTATGTTATTCGCTTCGGAGGTTCAGGGAGCGTCTGCTTCTTAACTCAGTATTATTAGACTAAGCGGTCATCGAGTGGAGGACGATCTGTGTTGCCAATGGAAATACTTTTTATTTTGACGATCCAGTTTTGAAACTTCTGCCATCACATTGGAGGACGGCCGTCTTCTTTCTGCCACCCACCAGCAGCCGGCCGGTCCTCTCTGCATTGACCTGAACCCACCATATAGACTTTCTAGAAGGGCAGACAAGACTACCAGATTCTTTCTCACCTAAAAACGTTGACAGATTGATGGATTTCTTCGAACAGCACTTGACTCGTTTCTTATGTTGCTCCGAAGAAGGAAGACAATAGTAGTATGCAGCCGCCAAACCTTGCTGCTGTTCAATGCAACAATGGAAAAGTAGCTGAGATTGCGAAGCGTGTCCCCAGTCTTTCCAACCCTGTGTAATGCCATTACGGAAAGCGTCTTTAATTTATCGAAAAAGCTATTTCGGCTATAGTCGAGCGAATATAGTCGAAGGAAGAACTCAAATCTATCACCCCCCTCTTGGTCTTGCGGTCAACCCACCCCGTCTGCTGATCGCACGTAAACAAGCCAAGGGTCCAAGAGTAGTAATATACTCTTGAAGGGTAGCGGACGACCCACAGACGATGACTAGAGAGTGCAAACCTATTTCAATCACAAAATCAATGATAAAATCAATAATATAATAAAGAAGAGCGCACTGTACTGGCGTTGGCGTTACGCTTGGTGGACGACAGAAATCATCATTTGGAAAACATGAATCGTCTATGTTAAGTCCGAATCGGAGTAGCCTATGTATTCTGGGCTCACGGCCTGAACTAACAAAGGGCTCCTCTATTCCAACAATATTCTTTTAATATTTTTGCTCTTGTATCGATGTTTTGTTTCTATTCTAGTACATTTGGTTTGTTGTGCAATTACCCGCCCATTGCTTTCTACCTGTTTTGGATCCTTGTTGGATTGGTGTCCTCACCCCCTCAACGATGCTCGGAGAAAATCGCTTGGCTTCTTGTACAGTGAGCGATTGGCCTTGAGGAGTGCAATCCTCGTGTTGCGGCTCGTCCAGGAGAATCGTTTCCCCTTTTTCCCTGGAAGTTTCAAACCCCTCCGCCTCATATCAGGATAGACATTTTTTAGTACCATCGCTCGCGTTCGAGCAGACCGCAACATCGTTCTGCTCAGCTTGTAGATCGTTGCTTCGTCGATTGATGGGACATTAAGCTTCTGGTTGGGATTGGATTTTGAGCTTGTAGTTGACAAACAAGGCGGAATCGTCGTGGCATCTGAAGACATGCTCCTCCAGTCATCATCCTCATCGAAGACTTCGAGTGATGGATGCTTAATCTGCTCGCTACTGGATTGGGACTTTGAAATTGACAAAGGAATGACATCCGAAGAAATGGTCCAGTCGTCATCCACATCGGCTGTAGGATCAATGTTCGCTCCAGGAAACTCAAGCGCAACTGGATGATGGTCCCTTTTGATTGCTCTTTCTTCATTTTCTCGTTTGTCTTCGGCAGGTGCCATGGGTGCAAATATCGTGTCCTCCAGGGAGAATATCGATAGATCAGCACCATCATCCTCAAAGAGAAGATCTATATCGACCACAGAAGTACAGCAGTTTCTCATTTCGTCGATAGTAAATCAATTTGTGCAATGGGAACGTTGGGATTGTGAAGAAAACAAAGGAAGAATTGTAGCTGGAAGCAAGCCTGCCAAAATCATGTCCTACACGCTCGTGAATATCTCGCTTAATGTGATAAAAAGCTTGCTTGAAATTGCTTTTCGGGCTCACAGACGGCCCAGCTCCTACAGTATATAAAACCAAGTGCAATCATAAAAAATCACGTGGCATACGCTGCATAGGGCGTTGGCGTTACGCTTGGTGGACGAGACCACAAGTTTCGCGTGTGGAACCATGCAATTACTGTACGTCCTATCACACACGCTAGTGAATATGTTGCATATACAAGCTTTGGGCTCACAGACAATCCAGCCAGCTCAGATTTGCGAAAGGAGGCTAAATCAGCTGGACGCAACAAGCTCCGAAGTTTCGGCGTCGAAACCTCCAGAAGTCCTACACACGTCAATATAGTATACATGTGCAAGCTTCCCCTTTTCGGGCTCATACAGTATTCTAACTCAAATGGATCTGCGAATTGACCATCAGTACGAACTTTTTGATCCCTCGAGACAAAACAAATTACGAAGTCCTAAAGACTTAAGTCTCCCTCCGCGAAAAATTGAAGTTCTTTGGGGTTTCGACCGTACCAGAATGGGAGCTTTAAACGCTAAGTATGTACTTTGTTGGTGCGAGAGGCATTCACAATAATCGCACCCGCAAGCTATACTCATGATACTGCTGTCATATATGTCACCCGACATCATATGTTCATACACAAGTTGGGATACCGGTAATAGATAATCGAAATGAAAGCATGAGCAGTAAAAGTCAAAACGATGACTCTTTTGATTCACCACGGAAAGCTGACACCTGTAATGCCTTCACGTTTCTGATGAGTCAATCCAATAATAATATTGGTAAAAAGAACGAAAATGGGAGCTCCAATAACGCAGCCACGAACCGGAAGAAGCCTCTGAATAATCGTTCTACTGCTTCCGTCGCTTCTGAAAAGAAGTCTTCGGACGCTTCGCAGCCCAGTCGATTTGCTTCCTGTCCATATTGCTCCAAGTCTATATCCAGCGCATTCATTCAAGTTCACGTAGAGACATGCAACTCCAATGCTGAATATCAGCAACAAGAATACGTCAGACGGGAACGTAAGAAGGCAAAGATTTTTCACAAACATCGGGCAAGCATGCCCAATACAGTTGTGACTCCTGACAAAAATGCCTTTACAAAAATGATGGATCAATCGAAAAACTGGAATAATTTTGGTGAGAACAAGTCAATAAATGCTGAGAACACTAATATAGATAATCCAAATCGAAAGGCCAAGCGACAACAGTGGTTCCACCTGACAAAGGACATGAAGGTCATTTGGATTGCAGATCGCAGTGGTGGAAATATTGATGGCGACAATTCTAATTGTCAGGAAAAGGTGGATAAACTATGTGGAGAAATCCATTGGTCGTCCTCGATTCTGATCCACGCTTCGAAAGTCAATGAAACCAACCAAGACAACATTGAATTGAACATCACCTCCTCGATCCCGTCAGCTTCCTCGGCGCAGACTCCCTTTGTGCTACACCATAGCCGCCTTTCGATTCCAGTTTTGAAATCCATTCTGCAAAAGAGCGTTCGAAGACGGAGACCATTGCCATCCGTCAAGGTTGCCATGGAAATGGCCGACAAGGGATTGGGGGAATTATTGCGGCGGCTTCCGATCATTTGCATTGAAGACTCGACATTGCATCATGATTTTCCTTTTCTAGTCTGGCTCATGGTGGCTCAGTCCAAGCAATTCCAGCCGACGAGACCCATGATGACCAGACTGTTCCGGGCTGTATTTGAGATTGCATCTTGCCCATGGCAGGACAATCTAGACATCCCAAAGGCTTCAGACGACGATCCAAAACATATTTCGCTTACTGCCGTGACGGAAATCGTAATTGGGGAAGACATGGAAGAAAATAAAGTATTTCAAACTGAATGCGACCTTCTGCTGCGATCGATTTTGCTGAGGCACAAATATGGTGGTATGGGCTGTGACATGAGGATGCTACAAAGATGCGCCATGTCATGGAAGTACCGATTTACGAAAGAGAAACTCATGAACTCTCAATTGGCACAAGCTTGTCTTCCCAAATATTGTTCTGAGAATAGTAGTGGTGGCACGACATTATCAATCAGTTGGAGTCAAGTCCCCAAACTCTTGCATCCCATGGAACGAAGCTCCAAAGCAGTACTGCCTCTCCTAGTTAGACCGCTGCCATACTTGAAATATTCAGATGCCACGCCTGCTGGAGTTGATTTTCATTGTTCCAACGTCCTTGACATGCCTCTTTACAATATCAACATGCAGTCTCAGATTCAAGAGCTGTATCATGGAAGTAGCGAAACCCCCATCAAACTGCTATCTGTTCAAGAAATTAGTGCAATACTGAAGAAGGCTTGTTGGGAACATTGTTCTGGAACAAATTATCGTCGGACCTTTCGGCAAGCATTGACTCCAAAGTCAGCCAACCAAGCAGATACGATACAGGACAAAGAAAAAGAGCGGATCAAGCGAGTTTGGGATTTTGTATCCCCAAACGTGCAAAAGTTCTCACAAGAATACTTGGCTCAACGGTTGGTAACCCCACGGTGAATATGTAGAAAATAGTATCTTATAGCTATATCATGTAGGATTTAATGATAATACGACGCTATTCATGTAGGACTAATTTTGGTTTCCCCTGTTCTCCCCATTCTAGTGCATTCGTTTCAAGGACATTCTTCCACAATTACGCGAATGATCTCGGTCTTTGATCCGTACTGAGTAAAGTTCTTGGACTTGAGGATCTTGCGAAGCTGGACTACAGTCAATGTTTCCAATTCGGCCTTGTACACGCTGGCAAGACGTTGCACTAGAATATGTTTTTTGCCAATTGTTTTGCACTTTCTGACTCGCAGCATCTCACGGAGCTGGTCATGAGTGTGATCATCAAAGTATTTGGATAAATCGTAGCTCTCGAGTGCCTTGCTTGCTAGAGGCGAAATGTGATGCTCACGCTTGACCGATTCTTTCTTGGGATGAACAATCTTGGGGCGCTTGCTTCCAAACATGGAAGTGGAGGCAAATAGTAGCATGGCTAGCATGGCAATCTGTGGGATGGCCACGCCCATATTCCATTGGGAAGAACCACATGAGAAGGTGTCATTTACATCCAAGCTTGGGAATTCGTCAGAGCCATATGCAGCCTGGCTCTTGATAATATTTTGGGCATTGGATGAAACACTGATGCGAGCGCTAGGGCCTTTCTGGTTCCCCTCTTTCTCGACAGCGAACTCTTCCACAGGGTCACTTGCGTTCAGTAGAACCGGAAGGACTTCCACTTTAGCGACCGCATTTGCCTGCGTACTAGTAGAATTGTTGCCTGTAGCACTTTCATCCTCCTTGGTGATTCCAATATCAGGTGCAGTGGTATTCTTTAATGTCTCTGGCTGAGTGGCAGATTCGATGAGGTTTTTTGACATTTGCACTGGCTTGGGAGCCACATCAGCGTGTGCATAACGACGAGATGCAAAGAAAAGCAGAGAAGCGCCCAATAACACGGATAGTAGCAGCGCAGGTCTTGATGGTAGTTCGTGCATGCGTTTCATCTTCTTTGTAACTTTAGACAAAAGCGTCTTCTTGTTCTCGACTTGAATGGCACTTTGCTCGGACTTTGGACTTGCTGCCTCCTGCAAAATTTCCTTTTCCTTCATTTCAAAGTTGATCAGATCAACATCAGTGGCCGCATCGCCTGTATTTTCAAAAGAATCCTCGATGGTTTCGCTTGTCTTTGAAGGAGTAGTAAGCGTCAAGTCGTTGATGGCTGACATATCCAAGTCAGACGCATTCAACGATAGAGACATGGGATCATTGGCTTCTAGAATCAAATCATGTTCATTCGTAGTGGGTTCTGAGGTGATTGTTCCAGTGGATGCCTTGGTATCAGCTGGCTCGTCTTCATTGTTTCCTTCATCCTCTTTGTCGAAATGGACCGTTTGTTGGATCTTTTCGTCAGCGGTTTCTTCGACTTTCGTCTCAGCGCCATCGTGGACTGTGTCAGGAGGGGTTTGAACATTGTCGTAGGTCAAGCTTCCATCGACAAGACGAACATGAGGAAATGGAGTTGTCGAAGGGCAACGGGCGACAAAAACAGGAGCATCATCGCCATCCTTCAAGAAATAGGGAGAGCTGTCAGGCGAAGGATATGTCCCTGTAGCTCCGTCTGCGGCTTGGACCATACCCAACGTGGATGAGTTTGATGCAGCGACCGAATCATCCTCTTTCTTGCTAGATTCGTTTGTGCCTCGTGAGGCTTTGGAAATGAAATCGCTCAACATTGGCATTGTCTTGTGAGTCTCGGTGAGTAATTAAGTGTAGGCCGGGAGAGATGAATTGGGATTCAAAGCTGTTGTATTCGATGATCTCAAACCACGAAATTGATCATGCAAGGAACAAATTATGAATAGTTTCAATGCTGGAGGGAGATCGAAACTTGGCAAAACGGTTCCCGGGGGTGATCTTCGCCCGTTGGCGAGAAACGTTTCGTCATCGTGTGGATGAATGTGTCCAGGTTTACATGCACCTTATTTGTACCATCTACGAGCGCTGATACTCTACATAATGTAGCATGCAATAGGCACATGAAAAAGTCACGTTTTGTTCAACGGACACATATTCAGTCAAATCAATCAATGAACGGACTGTCTGACTATGACTGACTGACTGACTGACTGACTGACTGACTGACTGACTGACTGACTGACTGACTGACTGACTGACTCACTCACTCACTCACTCACTCACTCACTCACTCACTCACTCACTCACTCACTCAAGAGTGACTGACGAGCTCGCCCTCCCCGCACGTACTTGTATCAGCAACACAGGGAGGTCCTGCTGAATATAGTCCTTCCGGCGTCCGTAGCACTAACCTGTACCCTAGGAAGACTCAGGGGAGTCGTCTGTACGACTTCCAACACGCTCCTTGACTGATTCTTCCTCATCATCCTCTAGTAGAGAATCGATGTGTTTGTATCCTAAAACCACATCGCGAAACTTTCGAAACAAACTAC